CGATGCCGCCCCAAAGTGTTTTGCTTTTATCGCATTTGTATGTAATTCTCACGTGATTCATAAGCGGACGATTAGCGTTAACTAAGTGGTAAGAGCCAAGAAGGTAATAATGCTGAGGAAAAGACAATGGATAGACCAAGAATTAGAGAGAGGGAGACAAAGAGAGAGAGAGAGAGAGAGGAAGCCGGAAATGAAAATGCAAAAAGATAACTTAAAGGGGGTCAACGGTTTTTTAAACTAGTAGGACGTCTCAATCACCCCCCGGGCCGAACGGGGGGGGGGGGGGGGCGGGGGGGGGGGGGGAACGGCTTAATTATGATCCGACTTAGATCGGCGCTGGTAGCCAGAGTGCGTAGTTTTAGTGGCCGCCGCCTGGGGGGGAAAGGAAATAATGGGGTGATATCACTGGGGGCCATGGTTGCCCAGCCTTTGCGCGGGCCGCGGCAGCAGACAGAGGCGCGGACAGACGGCAGACGGACCGACCGGCTTCGTGCGCGCGGGCGCGACCCCCCCCACCCGTAGTAAAAAAAGGGCCTTATAACTCATGCATCGAATATCGATTGCTATCGTAGAACTCAATTTGATTGAGTTTTTTTAACGAACAAAGTTTCGTTATAGTGGAGAGCCAAAACTCTTGCTATGGGAAAGACATTCTACTGTCAATAATATAATCGATAAACAATCAATGGAATTAAATACTTTGTGAAAATATATAAAATAAACTGCATTCCATTAAATTTGAACAGAAAGGGAAAAGAGCATACATAATGGACATAGAATTATATCACATTAAACCCGAAAAATATTTGACTATTTGTTACTTTCGTTGCTACTTTTGTTAGCCCAACGTCTGCCTAATCGACCGAGGGGCACTGTCGCATTACCCGCCGAAATCAAGCAGTTATTCTCAAGAATATTATTTTCATTGCTTCGCTCGTCTACTTTAGTCGCTTCTTCTCCCTTATACCTTTGACGTTATACTTCTACCATTGCTTTTTGTTGGGTGACAAAACGCCGAATGACAGACTGCTCTCCCACTCGAACATTCTGCTACTCTCTCTCCGATTCTCTATCTTTATGTGGGTGTGTGTGTGTGTGTGTGTGTGTGTGTGTAGGTCAAGTGCATCCATTGACAAATTGTTGCCGGCTCGAATCGTGCTCTCGTGTGTGTTCACTTTATACAATTTCGTATTGCATTTGACAGCCAATTGACATAAAATACAAACATATCCACACAAAGATACATATGTACATATATACGTACATTATATATACACGTGCAGCACGAACAACACGAAGAGCTGCACGTGTCATGGAACTCTCTAGCACTCGCACTCACACTCCCATCCAAAAGTCTCTCACTCGATTGTCCAGCAGAATGCACCCGCTCTGCTGCCCTCTCATGTAGAAAATAAAGTGCAATTATTAAAGGTGTCCGGGCATTCGGTTTATGCTTTATGTCGGAATTCCCAATATGCGCATTTCAAAGTTTACTTCTAGTTTTTGCTACTTCTAATACAATTTTTCTGTTTTTTTTTTTTTGTTTTTGGTGGGACTTGTGGTTGGAGCGCTTGCATCAGCCACCCCACCTTACACAATATGACACTTTGTTTTGGAGATTCAGCTCGCTCGCTCTACCTCTATCTCTCTCTCTCTCTCTCTCTCTCTCTCTCTCTCTCTCTCTCGCTCTCTCCCAGAACATCTGCAAGACTGCTTGGCTGCTCTCTCTTTCTTCTAAAGCTCGTTCGCGAGTGTTCTCTATATGTGTCTCTGAAGAAGATTGCGCTCCCGTTTCTAGAGTGTACCTCCTCAAAGTAGAATGACATTGCTCTCCCGTTCCGTTCCATCTCCAAGAGATGGTTACTCTCCCGTTTCGTTTCGTTCCGTTTCCTCGTTCCTAGAAAAATAGTAGTAGAATAGGTATTGGTCTCCCGTTTCGTCGTTACCTTTCTTCCACACAGTAGAATAAGAATAAGCTGCATTTGTCCGCTTATCATAATCATTATCCAAATCATCATCGTTCCCCACTGGCCCTCCTGCCTCCTGTGCCGCCTTTACCAATCATGCTTGTGTGTGATGTCACTTGCCAGAAAGTGCTACGTGCCGATGCCCCTGTCGCAGTCGCAGTCGCTGCCGAAGTCAGCTTTGGCGTTGGCTTCTCAGCTACCACCATTGGCGTCAAATTTCACACGCTGGCAACTTCATTGGTTTTGTTTTTGTTGTTGGAGTTCCGTTTGCTGTCGTTTGGCTTTTCGGCTTCTCGGCTTCTCGATTCTTCCGAACATACACAGACACGAAACACAGCACAGACACAGACACAGGCACAGGCATAGACACGCACGCACTCAGTCCGAGAGCGGGCGACGACAGGCAGACAATTAGGGAGTGAGAGAGTGGAAGTGGGAGGGCGAGGGCGAGAGAGTGGGAGAAATTTATGGTTTGAGTGGGAGTGGAGTGTAAGCAGGAGATGGAGTGTGAAAGGGGGAGGTGGTGTAGTGTGCAAGGTATCCCAAATGTAAGGTAGGGCATGTTTGTTTGTCCCTCTCTCTCGCTGCCTTTGTGTCGACAGAGTTGAATTTTTAATCGAGGCTGCTCCATCGTATGGCCTTACCTTATATGTAATTTACCTTGGTAAAGAGTGAGTGAGAGTGTGAAAAGGACTTCAAGTGGGAGTTGCGGTGAGATAGTGGGAGAGAGGGAGAGACAGAGAGACATAGAGCATGTGTGTGCACATGACTTTTAACAGCTGTTCGTTGCGGTTTCTGCTGCTTTCACCCCAAGCCCCCATGCCCACATGCCCACCGCCCTTGTTTGTACGTGTGTATGACAGTATGGCTAGGTGTTGCCCTCTGGCGTCGATTTGTGCTACTAGCTGCTACCTCTGATATGTCAATTTTCAAACACCCCGCGGCCTGTGCGATGCCCCCTCCCCCGATGACACGACACCTCTCTTTTTCTCGTTCACCTGCATACGATTATGCTCCGCTTCCCCCTCCACTCAAACTCAAACACACACACACACCTGGCATTTGCTTTGATTTCGAAAAAACGGCCGAAATAGAACAAGAACAACAAATAAGAGCGGAGATGTTTTGCCAGTTTATAAAAATGCAAAATAAATTTAATATTATGTTTAAATAAAAATAAAACTATTCATTACAAAAAAAAAAATGTTTTTTTAAAATACAAAAAGTTAATAAAAAAATATTAAATTAAAAAAAAAACAACAACAAAAAGAAAAAGAATGTAAGTGAAACCGGGAATTTAAATATGAAAATCAACGGAAAAAAATCGCTGGAAAAACTACCAAAATGCAAATTCGCGCGGAATAATCCAACGATAAATCGCCCCAAAAATTTAAAATCGTGCAATAACGGGAATACCTGAAAAAGGAGGCTTCACCGTCTGTGTTACGACGAGTGTGTTGAAGTGTATCTGTGTGTGCTAAATGGATTTCTTGTATCTTTCAGCTATACAAATGCAGAAACTTTTGTAAAAAACTTTTGAAAAATCTAAAAAAAATAATCCAAATACGCAGGAGAAAGGAAAAGTAATTGGACAATGGAAAGCGAATAAACAGAGAGAAGGAGAGAGAGAGAGAAGGAAAAGCAAACCGTTGAAAAAGAATAACATTAAATAAAAGAAATTAAAAAAGAAAAAAAAACTGTTGCCTTAACAATGAAACTTCCTTGTTGACATATATGCATACATATACAAGATACAAATACATATATACATATACTATATACAAAGTACATATACATACATACAGTATACCCTATATACAAGAATATTATTATATACAAGAACCTATATACAAGAAGCAAACGCAAGTAATTATACAACAACCAAGAAAGGAATCAAGAAGGAATCAAATATAAAGCAATAGAAATAGTTTTAAAACAAACCATAACAAATAACAAATATATACATAATAAATATACATATATTTTGTATACAAAACCAAACAAAAAATTAAAAAATAAAAAAAAGTATAAAAAACGAAAAGAAATTATAGGAAAGGAGGAAGCTAAAGCTAAAGCTGAGGAAAAGCTGGAAAAAAGTCGCAAAAGGTCGGTCCAAAAATGCGCCTAAAAGAGACAACAAAAAAGTCAGCAACAACTGCAACTGCAACAAGAGCAACACCTCCTCTGCCACTGGGAGTGTCCCTCTCTGGAGATTTCCTTAAAACGCTTCACATTTCAACGCCGCAGCACCAGCAGCAGCAACAACACTTGCCACATTCACAGAGGCCGCATTATCTGCAGCTGCAACTGCAACAGCAGCAACATCAATATCAATATCAGCGCTGCTCCAGCGTGGGCAGCACCACCAGCAGCGGCACCTGTGAAACAGAACGCTCCAACCTTTCGTCAGCCTCCTCTTCCTCCTCGCTGTCGCCAGCAGCCTCTCTCTCTGCCATGATGCAGGGTCCGGCAGAAGGAGCTGCAGCAGGAACTGGAACGGAGGGAATGGGAGCAGGATCTGGACCTGGATCTGGACCTGGACAGGGGCCAAAAGAAGATGCAACAGCGGCCGCTGTTTTGGCCGCAAACATAGCCGAATCGTTCACATTTCTGCAACAGCATGCGGCGCATCATTTTCGCGACATTTTGTATGCGGCCCACATGCTGGGAAGAGGTAAAACATTCAGCAGGGCGGTGGTGTGGAGTGGGAAAGATGGTGGGGGGGAGGGGGAAAGAAGAGGAGTGCCTGCCACCAAGGGGCAGTGCAGGGAGGACTACTGGGGGATTGTTGCACGACCAGCTGCTGGCTGAATGGAGCCGCTTAACTGGTTTTTGGTTTTGGTTTGGATCTTTTTTTTTTTTTTTTTGTTTGTGTGTTTTTTTTTTTTTTGGCCTGGCCAACTTTCACTTTATGCATTGTTGCCACATTTCACAATTGCAATTGCACCTCTGCCTCGACTTGCACCACAGATCTACAATCAGCCAATGATGATGCTCTAACCAGATTCCTTTCCGCTCCTCTGCTTCTTTCAGGCTACTATCAGCCGGCTGGACCGCTGATCTCGCCCCATGTGATTGCCGGCGGACCACCGCCACCACCGTCGCAGCAACAGCAACAACAGCAGCAGCAGCAGCAGCAGCAGCATCTACTACAGCAGCAGTCGCTTAAGAAGCTGCAGGAAGAAGAGTCGGGCTCCGGCTCACCCACGCAGCTGCAGCAATTGCAGCTGCAGCAGCAGGCAGCCGAGGCTGCTGAGCAAGCAGCAGCAGCAGCAGCAGCGGCAGCGGCGGCATCCCAGTCGCAGCATCAGCCGCCACACCAGCCACAGCCGCAGCATCTCCTGCAACATCATCAGCATCAGCAGCAACCGCCGCAACCTCAGCCGTATCCGGCCAGTGCCGTGGCAGCCGCTGCCGCAGCGGCTGCTGGCCATCCGGGCGTACCGTATTCCCGCTCAATGCACGCGGCTCAGATGCACTATACGACGGCCTATCCGCCAAACTACTATTCGCCGTATCCGGGCGAGGTCATGTGCTATTCGCCGCCCGCCTATCAGCCCTACTTTACCAGCAAGGTATACCAGACGGGTCCGCCGCCACCGCCGCCCTCGCATCCGGGACACCATCCCGCTGTTCATCAGCCGCCACCGCCGCCAGGCGCCTATCGACGCTATCCGTACTACCAGCACGCAGGGCCACCACATCCGCAAACACACCCGGAGCTGTACGAGCAGCAGCAGCAGCAGCCGCCGCCACCGCCGCCACCACCGCAAGCAGCCACCCAGGCGGCCAGTCCGCAGCAACAGCAGCAGCAGCAGCAGCAGCAGGCCACATCTGTGGGAGGAGTGGGAGTAGGTCCGGCAGGGAGTCAACTGGTGCCCGCGCATCACCACCATCAGCAGCAGCAACAGCAACAGCAGCATCAGCAACATCAGCAGCAGCAACAGTTGCAACAGCCGCAGCCTCACCAGCCGCCGCACCTGGATCACTATCCGGGGCCCCCGAGCTATTACGCCGGCTACAGTCCGGGAGGAACAGGGAGTGCCGCCGGACAGTGCTATACACGCGGCCTCCAGGGACCGTATATGGGTAAGGAAAAGTATGGTTCATAGGCAGCGTCCCAGTCCCAGGAGCAGATCCTTCCATAAAGATCCTTTATTAATATTTGTCTCTTTCTTCCGCTTGCAGAGTATCCGCCGCAGTGTCCGTGTCCAATGCAACAATCGTGTCCAAAAAACGTCCATACTGGGCCTCATATTGGTAGCAACATCAGCAGCAACAACATCAGCCAACAGAACAGCAACAGCAGCAACAGCAACAAAACAGACAGCAGCAGCAGCAGCAGTGCTATGTTGCAGGGTGCTAAGAGCAGCAGCAGCAGCAGCAGCAGCAGCAGCCAGAGCACCGCTGCCACAACACCAGCAGCGACAGCAACATCGTTGAATACCAGTAGGGGCCCAGTGAAAAATGTCACCAAAAACAACATGAACAACATTTGCAACAGCAACAAAAACAGCAGCAGCAGTGGCAGTGGCAGCAGTAACAGCAACACTGAGACATTGACAACAAATACGCGTGCAACAGCAGCAACAAACACAGAGGAGATGCGTGCAACAGCAGCAACCAATACGGAGGAGATGCGTGCAACAGCGGAGAGCACACGTGCCACAGCGGCAACAAACACAGAAACGCAGACGGCAACAGCCGTGGCCGTGGCCGTTGCCACAGCGACGACCAACAATATGGGAACGCAATGCCAGATGCTGGTCAAGACGGAGCTGAAGAGCGACCTGTCGCATCCACAGGTGACGCAGAAGATGCAGTACGAGGCGCATGTGATGCCACCGCCCACGCCGCCCGAAAGCTACTGTGCCAGCGACGACAAGTTGCTGGAGGATCAGGACCAGGAGACGGAAATGGAATTGGTTTTGGGTATGGGAATGGGAATGGGTCTGGGGCTGACCCTGGAGAAAGGTCACAGTCACAGTGAACAGCACATTGAGGCGTATGATCTGACATCTAGCACACCCCCGCCACCAGCACTGCAATCAGCAGGAACAGGAATAGGCGGAGCAGCAGCAGCAGCATCCGGAATTGCAAAGGCAGGAGCAGGTGGCGTGGGAGTGACGCGAAAGGCGAGGATCGGAAAGAGCATGGCCAGGGAGATGGTTTTTGCAGCACAACAGCAACAGCACGAACAGCTGAAGCAGCAGCAGAAGCAGCAGCAACAACAGCAGCAGCATGTGGAGAAGAAACAGCAGCTGGAGTTGGAGTTGGATTTGGAACAGGAGAAGCATTCAGGAGCAGAACCAGAGTTGCCTTTTTTACTTAAAGCTGAAATCAAAGCAGAGACCAAAATCAAAATCGAGCAGGATGACGGACGTCTGGCGAGCAGCACTCCACTTATCAGCCAACTGCCGGATGTGAAGCCAACAATCAAAACGGAGCCAGAAGCGGAACCCAAACCTGAGCCTGAACCCGAACCCGAACCCGAAACACAACCGCAACCACAACCAGAAGCACCAGAGGAAATACCAGAAGAAGCAGCAGAGACGCCAGCACCCAGCAAGCAACGCATCAATCTGCTTGCCTCGTCCACATCCTCGGCTGCCGCATCTGCCTCCGGCAAACCGACGAAGAAGCACCACAGCTACAAGAGCCTGATCAAGCAGGCCGAACCGCGGAATTATTTGTGTCCGGGCAGGACGTTTGTGCGGCGGCTCGGCCGAGCACCGGCCAAGTATGCGAAGAGGCGGCAACAGCTGCTCGTGCAGCGCCAGCAGCAGAGGATCCGTGCCCAGAGGCGCGAGCAGCTGAAGCAGCAACGCCAAGAGCGTCAGCAGCAGCGCGAGGCAGAAGCAGCAAAGCAGCAGCAACAGAGGTGGCAGAAGATGCAACAGCGGCAGCTGCAACAGTAGCAGCAGGCTGCTCTGGCCAGGAGGAAATAAAACATGTGACCAGCGGCGGAAGTGGCTCTTCGCCCAAGCGTGCACATCCACGGAAGCAGGAGATTGCTGCCCTTCATCTGCTGGAGTGCTTGGACACGTCACTTAGTCGAGGGTATTTCAGTGATCCCGAGCTGAACAGCTGTCGCAGTCAGGCGAAAGTGGGGGGTAGCGGTGGCGGTATCTATGCCGCACCCTCACCTCTGTTGGCCAGCCCCCATTCAGTACCCCAGCCGGTGGCCGAGAAGCGTTCCAAGTCGGAAACCAAGAAGCCGCTGCTGCCATCAACCACAGAACAGCCCCCGGCAAAGAAGCTGAGAAAACAGGGTAACATCAAGGCCAAAGCGAAGGGCAAGAAGGTGACAGCAGCAGCAGCAGCACCAGCAGCACCACCAGAACCAGCGCCAGTAGGTGGAGAGGCTGCAGCTAGAGCTGGAACAGCCGAGGCGAGCGCAACAGCAGCCTCAACCTCTGCACCAGTAGCGAGATCATCATCAGCGTCACCTCCATCTGCAGAGACAAATAACAATGAGTACCAGACGGCAGATTTGCAAGCTCAAAAGCTGCAGCAGCAACATTCCGAGGAGCAACACAAATTCCTGGTGCCGACAGCTGCAACAGTCGCAGCCGCAGCAACAGTAGCCACAGTAGCCACTGTTGTTGCCCCCACCTCAGCAATGCCCACAGTTACGCCCGCGTCTATATCTGGATCCACATCCACATCACGCCAAAGTCAACACACGACGCACACGAAGCGAGCGCGATCCCGCTGCAAATTTGGTAATCGAAAGCGCCAGAAGCATCGTCCGGGCGGAGTTAGCTACGAGCTGGACGAGACACAGCCGCCAGCGATAAAGGCGAATGTGGTGCCAAAGTGGAATAATGGCTGGATGTGGGCGGGCAAGGCCTTTCAGGGTGCCGTATTTCTTACTGTAAGTCACAACCACCAAACAAAAATCCAACTGAATCGAAGCTTACACACATATATTTCCCTCTCTACCCTGAAGAGCGATGATCCGTTGGTTTTGCGCACTTGCTATCCGGCAATGCGACATGTGGAGGGCGACATCATACGGACACGGGACTGCGTCCTGCTCAAGGCCAACGAGGATAATGAGCTGCCGTATGTGGCCAAGGTGGCGCATCTCTGGCAGAATCCTGAAGATGGTAAGCGCCACTGCCCGTGTGGGCTGTCGTTCTTCTTTCTCATCTCGATTATAATCCGTTTATAGGTGAAATGATGATGTCGCTGCTGTGGTACTATCGGCCAGAGCATACGGATCAGGGCCGTCAGCGCAACGATTGCCCGGACGAGGTGTACGCCTCGCGGCATCGCGATCATAATTCGGTGGCCTGCATTGAGGACAAGTGCTATGTGCTTACCTTCAGCGAGTACTGCAGGTGAGTGTCGGGGAAATCCCTGTTAGATTAACTCTGGCCCCATATGCAATCATTGCCTAACTTGCCTTTGTTTTATTTAGATATCGTCGCCGCCTGCGTGCCGCCGAGGAGGATATGGAGGATGTCAGCATTGTGCCGCGTCGGCCGAGCAGTTGCATTGCTAATGCCAATGCCAACGGCACTGCTGGCGCAACCACCACTACCGCCATCGTCAATTGTTATCCAGTGCGTACAGTGCCGGAGCACACGAATCCGGAGCTGGTCATGTTCTGTCGCCGTGCCTACGAGTTTCGGACACGCCGCCTGCTCAAGCTGCCCCAAAAGAGTGCGCTTGCCGCGTGCAGCCACAGCTAGCGCAAGGCTAGCACTAGCTAATCGATCCTTAGCATACACTTAAGCCTCGTTCTAAGCACACGATGATGAGAGCAGGATGGGATGGGATGGGATGGCAGCATACGAGGATGCCAACTGTTTTTGTTGGCATACAAACATTAGCATAAATTTGGATGTAGTGTTTTGGGAGTAGGATGAGTGGAGAGGAGAGTGCCCCTGACAGAGGCCCCCCACTACAGAGGACGAGGCACAAGAGGGAATAATCGATGGATGAGGGATAGAAATTGTTTTGATCAGTCTACAGTTTACAGTATTGTTAAAGATATTTTTTGGGTCTCGATTGTTGAAAGATATCTACTATCTGTGGGGTGGGGGGATAGATCGGTTCAAGCAGCAATTATCGTACCGCACTTGCGACTGAAGTATTCGTTGTTCCTATTCAACTGTCGTTCGGATATGGAAATTGCTGTCTGATTGTTGCCCCAATCAAGGACACAAAAACACACACACACACACACACAAACACGCGCGTATATATATACATACACTATGCATACCTCTGTCGGGGCAGGACATGCACACACACAAAAAACACGCACACACACACATACATATACATGACCAATATGTAGGCGAAAGCTTTTCAATTACGATGTGAAAAACTGATGTGAAAGATGTACGAGAAGGTAGGATGGACAGAAGGAAGGAAGGTAAACGGCGTTATAGAATGAGGTATAGAAAAGAACTTTAGAACGTTAGAGCGTTAGAGAGCTGAGCATTAACAAAAATAATATCTTACATTTAATTACAATCAACTATTTATTTTGACTTCCCTCCCCCACACACACACACACGCGCACAGATACTTTTGTTATTAAGTTTTATAAATGTATTTATTTTGTTTATTGATTTAGCCGTTTGCTTATGGGAATGTGTTGCTTGTGGAACAGGCGTATAAGACTCTTTCTTCTGATAATCATAATATATGATGGCTGAAGATTTCGCACAAAATCGAAACGCTTGTTGCCCATTTCCCCCCCCCCAATTTCTAGAGTTTTTGCTAGACATTCTCGTTGTACAAATTGTGTACTCAAACATTTGAAATTCTTACGCCCCCCACATGTACTACGCGTCCCTCTATTTATAGGAGCCATGTACAGCCAATGCTCAGGCAAAAAAAAAAACACCACACATTTTGCGCACAGACACATTAATTAAGAAACTAAGAACCGATATCCTTTCGACATGAGATTCCCGACTCTGGAAAAAGTGGAAGACTTGACATCCATTTTTTTTTACTATAGTTTTTTTTTCCGTTGTTGTTAGGTTTTGTAAGCGAATGAAAAACAGACACAAACACACACAAACATTAGAATTTGATTATGTATTTTAGAACTGTTTTCGTTTTAATATATTTTGAAAAGAAATTTGATTTCAATGAAATGATTTTGCTCTTTTTTTTGCGTTCGTTCGTTCGTTCGGAAAAGATGAGAAAAGTCCTTAAAAAGAATAACAGAAACAACAACAAGTCACATTATTATATATTATAAATAAATTTAAAAAAAATAATAAAATAAATAACTGTATTTAAAAGTAAGGAACTTTTTTTTTTTGTAATATTTAGTATAATTTAATTAAATTTTAGTTTGTAAAGCCTAGCGTTTTTAGTTGTTAAGTTGATATTTAAATATGATTTGTTTTATACCAAATACACAAAAATTTGTAACGCAATGTAAGAAATTTATTTATGCACACACACACAAACACACACACATATATCTATGCACACGTGTATAATCTTATGGATATATGTATACAATATATAAATTATATGTATTATTTTTTTAAACCAATTCTGTTCTTTTGATTTGTATATTTATTTCGTGGGTAATGCGAAAGTCCCAGAGACTTATCTTGGGTATTATTTGTAATGGTGAGTCAACTGTAGGCGCTAGTAGGCGTGGTAGAGAGAAAGAGAGAGCGAGAGAGCCATGGAGAGCTACGTAGAATGAAAGTACGCTAAGAGGAGACGCTTGAGAATAGAATGAGCAGCATATAGACCTACACCTACATTATAGGGAGCATAGCCAGACATACATACATATATACATATGATACGAAATACCAAAATACGAATACACAAACAGACGCACAAAACGATCAAACAGATACCGTACGTATACGTATTATATACCCAGAGGAGTGGAACGATAAAGCGACGAAGAGGACGGAATTCAATTAGTGAAAAGCAAACAGACACCAAACAAGAAATTGTAGCCTAAATTACCAATAAAAAAAAACCAACAAAAAAAAACAAAAAACACAGACAAACATTATATTTGTATGCCATATATATAGTATATATACATATATATATATATATATATACACACAGTACATATACACACACCTATACATAAACACACACACACACACACCTATGCATACATATATAGGTATAAATATAGATAACTATATAGCCTTGTTCCTGCTGGACAAAAATATATATATTTCTATAGGAAGGCAGCCCACAGGAAGCAGACATAGAAAAACAGCAGCAGCTGCAGCAGCTGCATCAGCAGCGGGAAACCAACCGAACGAACCGATTTGCCGATTTGTATTATAAGTAGGAAGGGATGTGTCTATCCTGTCGAATGATTGAGGGGCGACCGTTCTTCAAGGCCAAGTACAGTCAACCACAGAAAAAAAAAAACACGCACAAAACAATGTTACACTCACACAGAAATGCCTCTAAATACAAAACAAAAAAAGAATACAAAAGAAAAACATAAACAAAAAAGGTAAAAATCCGACTTTTTTTTTTCTCACTTAAGTTTGTTTAAGGAAAATGTTACCCATTTATTGTAGCTCGTAGAAATGTCAGAAATCGTATTGAATGTCTTTATTTAGATCAATGGTTTAACATTACAATTTAACGAATGATTTTTCCATACAAATATGTATTTAGTTAATAGTTTTATGTCAGTATGTAAGTACTCGTATGTGTTGCCCTTAAGTAAATCACACACATTTCCATAATTTTCATCATTTCCATCTACATTTCCATTATGTAATAACACTGAAGATCAAACACCAAAAAAACCAAAAAAAAAAACAAAACAAAAACAGCAACAAGATTAACAGTAACAAGATTAATTTTAAAAAAGAGCTAGATGAACAAAAGTAATGCAGAATAAGTGGAACAACAACAACAAGATCAATAAATCAAAACCAATATAACTATTGTTTATTACTAGAGAAATAAATTTATTTTTTGGCAAATTACCCGAAATCTCTTCACTCTTTGATAAGTCATACCCAAAACCAAATTTTACACGGTCAACCCAATGGATAGATGACTCAAGGAATCTTTGGGAGAATACTTCGACTGCAATAAGTTTTACAATCATAATTTCAAACGCAAAGGAAACAATTATTTACCATATTTTGAGTGTATTTAATTATTTCGACGATCATTGAAAGATAGGTAGAAAGATGTCCAAAAAATATTAGTTAATTTTATTAGACGGGGCATTCGTTTCAAACTATTTTTCAAAAAATATATAGTTCTGCGTAAATTATTCATTGAAGTTCGAATCACATGCATAGGCCACACATGTTTAATGCCTGGCTGCATGGAGACAGAGGTCACATGTCGCATGTTGATTCCAATTGCCTTGATTCCCACGATTTAATTTCGAACATACCCATCCATGTATTGATGAACTTCGGGGTATGGAAGCCATAGTGCCAGTTGTGACTAATGTTTTTGGTTGCATACTCTTCCATTAAGGAACTCGAGCTGCTTTCTCAGACTTGTCATCGAAGATCAGGGTTGGACTTGAAGCGGATATTGGATACAAATATGTACATATGTTCTGTAGTTTGGATAGATATGCTATCTACGAATTGCGGCTCCAAAAAGGTTGTTAAAAGATTACGTTTGGGTTTTCGCGTACAATTGAATCATATTACATGGTCCCATGGATATTGTTTGCTTTACGCACATTCCCGGAATGATGAACAATTTTGGGAGTAAAGTCAAGCACCAACAAAAAATGTGTATGGTACTTGTTTTATTTCAATTAATTTAATTACATTTTTTATAAAGCCAACGCCTTTCGTGCCTGTTGTCTACGCATAAAAATCTACTGCAAAACTTGTGAGCGTAGCTGAATAGGGACTCTATTCTATTAAGGAATACTTTGATGTACTTACTACTTTGCTGTGTGATCATTGGAATGAAAATTGTTAAATGTATTTATAATAACCAATCGTAGCGTATTATACTCTTCGATGAGATTAACATTAGCTGGCGCTTTCTTCACACATCGCGCTGACAACAAAGTTGTGAGTCTTTAAGCTTGATAAACATCGAATGCACGTAGGACTGACAACAGACAACTGAAATCAAAAGTGAAACAAACAACATTGACATTGACAAGCGTCAGAACAATTAATTTAATTGCCGGACAAATTGCTGGCTCAGAGCTCAGTTCTCTCCACCCTACCCGCAACATCTGGAAGAAAGTCAGAGCGAGTCATACTGAATATTGGATGTGCCAATTTGTATGTGGCTACAAATTCATGTATCTGGTGTAATCTGAAGGAAAGACTTGCCTTTTTGTATCTAGTATGAACTTAAATATCTATGGGAATCCATTCGAAGTGTGTGAAATTCCGTACTTGTTTTTCTGAGTGTATGTAAACATGAATAAACTCGCGCGAATGTATCATCTTTTGGGTGTCGATGAGCTCACTATTGGGGGACCCGCTTGTGACTCAGTTACTCTGTTGTCCCAAAAGCTTTATCAACAGGTGTCTTCTCGTTTGATTCCATATGCATGCATATATGTATATAGGTGGGTTCATATGTACTCACATAGGTGTGTATGAGTATGTTTTTGTTTTTGTTTTTGTTTTTGCCTTTGTTTCAAATTTAATTTTCGTTTTTGTTTCTTGCTTACATTTTGGTCGAGAGGGTGGCACGATTAGGCAGCTAATTACATGGGCGTTTCTCGTCTAAACATATCAATTATGTGGGCGTGCCAAGTGTGGACGATGAGCGTGTGGGATCGGAATCAGAATCAGAAACAGAATCGGGTACGGGTACGGGGCTCGTTAGTCACTTAAACTACGCAGAAACTATAATTAGCCTTTGCCTGTGAGTATAAAAATAAACACGTATGGCTCTTAATTTGCCCAAAAAATCCAAAAAGGGAAAAGACTCCCCATTTTTGGGGAAGAATCGCGTACTTTGGAGATTGTGGCAAGGCATGAAAATTGGGGAACCCACCACAAGGTTGTATCAATTTGTAGAAGTTGCCATAATTAGAATGTCTATGGGCGTGATTATGGGTAAATAATTGAACAAATTTACTCTTAATTTACATATTTCATGACATATAAGTAACGAACTAATTTTGCTCCACAGTTGCAGAATGGCAATGCGATTGTTGAGGGTAATTGTACCCATGAAGCCTTTGAATGCTGACTGAATGTTCCCTCTTTTCTGGCATGGGTACACCTACACACATACTCATATTTTACATATTTTAAGCAGTTCTTTCCTCAAAATTGATGGCACAATATTCAGATATTAGTATGCATATATTGTATATAAAATTTCTTAAGCTGGGCTTCCATATTTCCATACTCTCAAACCATATGCCGATTCAACCCTAAACTTGAACGATTAATAATTAATTAATTCCGCAGTTAAACTCAGAATAAGTGGGTAAAACTGCTTCGTAACAGCTGCTACCTATTTACGTAAATGCAGTTCCACTTAGACAATTTTCTTTGAGGCGCCTCTCTCTGCTGCTGCTGGCATGCCCCGTGCTGTGGTGCCAACTAATTGTGGGAGTCTGATGCTCAATTAGCTACAACAACAAAAACTGCAGCAGAAGTAAACAAAAAACCACCATTGTCTCTTGATCTCCACTTTTCTCTTTTTAATGAACAATTCACACGTTTGGACAATTTACATAAATTAAACTTAGAAATTAAGCAAAAAAAAAAAAATTATATAAAAATAAAACCAACAAAAAGTTCCCCCGCTCAAGATCTCCTGGCCTGTAGCCATGCCGCGCCAAGGGCCAGGGTCAGGGCCATGCCCAGTGTGCCGGTTATCGATGCTGCTCCGCCCCTATAGCCATAGCTGCCGGGATATCTGGAATCCATATTGTAGCCCGGCTGTCCGGGCAGTGGCTGCTGGTTGCCCTGACCGTTGTAGGAGAAGGGCCGGCCGTGCTCGTCCGTGCCGCTCACATAGTAGCCACCGTTGCCACCCGCACCGCCATATGTGCCACGAGAATCGACGCCCGCATAGCCGTAGCTATACTGTGGATCCTGGCTGCTCAAGCTGCCCGGCGGATGCATGCCTGCCGCACCCGTTTGGGCATTCGACCAGGCGCCAACACCGCCATTCCCATTGTTCCATGTGCCGGATTGGCCATTCACTGCAACAAAAATCAAGACAATTACAAAAAAAAAGAACACTTTATTAGAATTATGTATTTTATATGCCAAACAGAAGAAAAATGTTTGGGAAGTTTTTTTTTAAAGATTTGTTTTGTGGTTTAAGTTTGATTTTCGTAATTTTTTAATTTGCATTTTTCCGCGTTATGTGCGTTTGTTTTTTAGCATTTTCTGTATACTTCACAAAAGTTTCATATTTGTTTTTTTAATTAGCTTTTTTCTCCATGTTTTTTACAGGTTTTTATTCGTTTTGTGTTAGGCTTCTCAGCGTTTTAGAAGTTTATCTTTTGCGTTTTTGTGTTCGCTTGTTGTGTTTTGTAACAGGCTTATTTGGCTCCACTTTTCCATTGTTTTCGCCTGAACTCGTTCGTGCATTGTGCTCTTCCCTGGTGTACTGTCATTAGGTGATCGACCCCACACCCACTCACCCGCTACGAGCCCGGCCAGCGCCAGATAGATCACAATGCTACCGCTTAAGTACCGATTCAGACGCGTTTCAGACATGTTTACCGCTTGCACGCTTGGCTCCAACTAAATCGCATCCAGAGCGTTGTCAGTGGTTTTAAACTCGTTTTCCCCTGGGCCTGGCTCTCAGACAGCAGCAGCAACAGCAGCAACAACAACAAGAATCACTTGATCACTGTTAGCATGGTATCTTGTTGCTTTAACAGCGAGTCATCATTTGTTGTTGCTGTTGTTGTTGCTGTTGATTTTAATTGTTTATTCAATTACCCTTTTTTTGTGGGTAGTACGGGAGGGGGAGACTGCTGGTGAACCCAATGGGAAGTCAACGAGTTCTTAATACATCTCCCTTTATTTTTGCACCCTAAATCAAGAAGATCCAGCTAACATATGGGAAGTAGACAGCGTTTTACTCATCACAAATTTAATTGAATTATTCTAGAAATTTTCTTTTAATTTTCCAAAGCCCAGAACTAAGTTCAGAGCTTCCCAAGCACTATAAAATTTAATTTAATTTCATTTTAATTTTATTATTTAATAAATTTGTTTTGCTAGTTTTCGGGGTTTTTTCGTCAATATGTTAGAAATTGTTGGCCGGTATATAGAAAGTAGCTATATTATATTATTAATTGGGGGGGACATATACATAATTTTTCTATATTTTTTATGCATATATCGGATTTAGTTTACTTTCAGCCCAAATCCAAGATTCATTCATTTTGGAAATCATTTTCCATTCACATTTAGCTGGCATCCAATCTTTTTCTTGTGCTGCTGCTGATCCAACAGGTCATCTGACAGTTGTAACGCGACAAAGCAACTCCTCCCAGCCATATAATTTATTTTCAAATACAGAACACGCAAATTGATGCAATGTAAGTAATGTTGATGCGGTCGAACCTTTTTGTGGCGACGTGAGAATCGCAGGCTGGTCTGTGTGTCTCTGTGTGTGTGTGTGTGTGTGTGTGTGGGTGAGTTTTTTTCCGGTATAGAACACGTTAATTTGTTGGCTCATTAATGGAATGATGTGCACGACACAGGCCTGGGGCCAGGGCCAAAGGGTTGTCAAAATGTTGATAGTCATACGACAAATAGTAAATGTCTCAACCGATACTATTGCTTGCTACGACTTTGAAGATCCCCCCCGAATCGCATTCAACTCGACTGTATTTCTTTGGTCTCACATTTTTTATATATAGTAGTTGTATAGTTGTTTGTAAATATAGTATGTATGTAATTCACACATTCCAAGGGAAGAGCAGCAGTGGCTAAACGGTAGTCAAAAGACAAACAATGCACTCGCGTTGTTAGTACGAGGCCTAGGCCGGCAAAAAGAAAGGGAAAAGTCGCAGCACAATTGTGGGGCAAGTGCAAATTATTTGCTTTCTCGGTGCGGCTTGTGACGTAAACTTTGGGGCTATTGTGGTGTCAGGGTATGCGAGTATGTAGGTCGGGCTATATGTCCATCCATATAGTGCCATACGAAACGATCAGACAATATGCGACTGAGAAACTTTGTATTTATTCATTATATTCCATTGACGTAACTTTTTTCCAGGGCTTGGTTCATTTTGTAGGCTTTTAGCAGCACTTTTTTTGGAAGGTACCACAGTAAGTTGTGCCTCGATTATAGCTGTAATATAATACTATATATGTAATACTACATGATCCTATATTAGCTCATTTAATTCTATTTTTACGCCTGCTTAAAGTTGGACTTTTGTTGTTACTTTGATGGTATCCATAGTGGAAGCTGTACACTAGCCGTTAGCGAGTAAAATGCACCAGTGAAATTACTGCAGCTGCATAACTAAGATTAATACGATAAGGTTTCATTCATTATGAAATACCCTTACGATGGCTTGCCAACTAAGCTCACTAAGCTTCTAAAATTTCTTACCCATAATAATAAACTCACAATATTCCCAATGATGGCAAGTCCTATTAAATTTTAGTAAAAAAAAAAATATGAATATAGTGCAGGTTTATACACTTCTTTAATGTACTGGAAAGTACATGTACAAAGTATATAAATAAATAATATAATAATTAATTTTTAAACTGCTTACTTGAAAGTGAATTTAAAAATCGTAAATTAAGTATTTTCAGTCTTCACTGGCAACGCTGGCCGGCAACAGTGCTGCCACCAGACGTACAGCTTCTGCGCATTTAGCCCGAACTGCAAGTGGGGCAACTCTGGCAGCACAACCCCCAGGCATAAATAAAAGACTTCAGCTAAGGGTTTGTTTAACTCTCTCTCTCTCTCTCGCTCTCTCTCTATTTTTGTGCTCTGTGTCACTCTCTGTTTGTGTGTGATTTGGGCCTTTACTACGTTTGTGTTATTGTTTTTCCATTTTGATGTATTTTTCGAAAGGCTCTCTCCCCTCTCGGGTCACTGTCTGACATTGGACGAGTGTCGGTCGGGGTGCAGGGCGGTGTTTTTGAGTTCGGGTGCAAATTGCGAGCGTAAGCGCCACCTGGACTGGCTTTTTGTGGTTCTTCTTGTCGGGCTTTAGCTCTGTTTGGTTGATACTCTATCCCATCGCAGCGTTGGGAGCGGACTGGTTTCGTGTTTGCGGGTGTTTGTTTGCTTGCTGGTTGGTTTGGTTTGTCGATTCCTGCTCGTCCCAAACCGAGTGCTGGCTGTAATCAACAAAATGCAGCAGAAAATCGCCACAAATCGAGCCAGTTTCGAGTGAACTATTTTTGTGCACCGTTCAATGTGTGACAAATTCCGAGAAAATAAAAGCCGATAAATAAGAGGGAAGCGGAGACAGCAGCAGAAGCAAAAAGGCAGCACAGCACGAGCAGAAGCAGGAGTAGCAGGAGCGAAAAGGAAAAGCGAGTTCAAGAAGCAGGATAAAATTTCCTTGCATTCTTTTAGGCGCACAAAGGAAAATGAGCGCTAAGGTAGGCCAAGAGCGCGCCTCTTCATATACGTTTGTTTCCCCTTTAATGTATGTGTGTGTTACAGTGCTCTGTGTGTGCGTGTGTGTGTATCTGTGTGATATCAACAATGCTGCAGGCCAACATTTGTGTGTCCCTCTCTGCCTCTCCATGTCTCACCATTTCAATGAATCCATCCACGCACTCCAATTCCAAGCTGTAATTGCCTTTTGCTGTTGAATAAATGTGATACAGCCACGCCTCCGCTTTTGAGGCGCCACCAGCGATTGCACCCTTAGCCACATCCAACCCTCTTGGGTAGGAGCCAGTGAAACGGTTGTTATGGTTATGGTGCCTGGTATATGGTATACATAAATTGCAAGGACTGCAGCATAAATTGAGTTAAGACCCGCAAGCCAAAGACTAATTCTTAACATATGCTGTGCCAAGCCAAGCAGAGCCAAGTCAGAGCGAGCCAGAGACTCAATTGGAAGGAGAAGGAGAGCGTGATAGAAAGGGGGTGGGGATGGGGAGGGGGAGGGGGAGAGAAAGAAATGATTGTGATAAAGGGTGCTTTGGTTTCACATTTACAAGTTGCCTGGCAACCCACAGAGAGTCGAGTAGAGCTCATTCTTGCTTAATGAATCAGCTGCATGCAACACAATGGAAACCCTCTTGGGGCCAGTCTCCCCCCCCAGCAACCCTTGGCATATTTGAGTTCTATATATAGCAACCATAAATCCCATGTCGAAGCGCAATCAAAGATGCTTTCTTACTTCTCGGAAATATGCGGCCGATGGTTAAAGGTTCGACAGCCAGAGCTCATATCCATCTTCCAAGAATGGATGGACAACCCGGAGAGTACTGACTGAGTGAGGACCTAACTTTGTACATTTGTATTGATTGAAATTCTATCTGTGTGCTATCTGTTATCGATATGGAAACGATTAAATATTTCTGTAGTGAGATCGAAAATGATTTGAACCCAATTAGAATTAATTCACTTTGATTCTGCCACACACACACACACACACTCCCCGAATTCTCACCAACAACTGTCTCTATATTGATTATGTTTTGCCATTGAATGTTCTTCCGTGGGAAATTTGATTTTTGGCTTATGGAGTGCCGCCTTTTGACTGTAGGCCAAGTGTACTACGGGCGGGCATACATATGCCATTTAATGTCTGTTTACATTCCAAAATCCGCTAAATGTCTGTCACTGCATGAATGTGTGTGTGTGTTTGTGTGTGTCTATATGTAAATATATATAAATGTATTTTGTGTGTTTACATTTCGTTGGAAGCGCTAAGGCCAAAGCCACCACGGCTGGCATCCATAGCCCCCTTCATAGCCACCATAATCCCATGCACCAGCGTAGGTGGAGTGTAAATACAAAAAGAGAAAATAAAAGAAAATTGTGCACAACAAAAAAATACGAGTAATAAACTGCGCAACAGTTTTCACTTCACCATGGAGAGCAGCGTCCTCCAGGCCACTCCTGTCCACCCCGCTAGCCTGTTGGGTTCCCCGCCGACCAACCCGCTGGCCTATTGGGTCGCCCCGCCGACCAACCCGCTGGCCTATTGGGTCGCCCCCCGTCCATCCCGCTGCCCTTTTGGGCTCTGTTGGGCTCTGCTGCTGGCGTTGGCGTTTGGCGTTGATGGTAATAAATTCAATGCCCTGCCCGCATATTGTAAGCTAATACCGTGTACATAATGTACAGTGGTCATTGGCTATGCCATCAGGATCACATGATTGGATATCCCGCCCAATCTGCCGCATCAGAGTATATCTGTAGTGGGCAAAATATAATCAATTAAATGCTTAAATTGAAAGCCATAATTAATTACTGGAGCAGCTAATACTCAGCCCCGTTAGCTGTCATAGATAAAATAGCTGAAACTAAAGGAACTCCCAGTAAAATAAATAAATTAAATAGCTGGAAGCGACTCTCTCTCTCTCAACCAACACTTCACTTACTCTGGAATACCTTCTGACCCAAGGATCACCGTACCTGCTGCTCGCACTGTTTGCATCATTCGCAGTCCTTAGTGCATGATATATATATAGAGAGATAGATATCGCAGATAGATATATAGACAATAGCTACCCGCCTGCTGGACGATCGCCCAGCGAATTGCGTTTCAATGGGACAAGCGCGATAAAAGTGTCCGCAACATTTATGGCAGTGAATGGGAGAGGCAACAAATCGGGGTTTGCTATCAGCCGATATCGGGCTGCCTCATTTGAGATATTTCTTTGGCATTCCAAACCGCCAAAAAGAAACAATTGATGTGTGTAAATAAACAATTGCGCAGATCAAAACAAAATGCACATAAATAATAATTTATAATGAATAAATTCGTTTGGGAATTTCTGGGCATTAATTGAATAAATACCCGAAGGAAACAAGGAGTTTTTTCAGCTTTGGTTCAATTGTATTTATAGGGTATATTATTTAATATTGGGGAGAACAAGTTCCTGAGAGCTGAGAGTAATATTACTTACAGATTTTAATTAAATTATTTCTAATTAATTATGTAGCGGAAAAACTTGAAGGCATGGCCCATAGCCATCTTATTTCTTATATTCAATTATTAAGAGTATGTATGTGCGAGTGTATTCCCTTTCCTGGTTATATTTGCCTTTCGCTTGGCCCCATCTCCGGTTTTAATGCGCGCAAACAGCCAGGGCAAAGCCAGAGCCAGAGCCGGAGCCAGCCACATACAGACACAATCGAGTCAATTAATTTGTATACAATGCAAAACTATTGGATATATGAGTACGTGGCATGGCGGGGCGGGGGGGGCAAGTGGCGGCAAGGGCGGCCCCGCAAGGGGCCCGGGCAGGGCCTTTCGAGTGCCGAACCATCCGCCGGGGCATGGCGGCATGGCGTCGTCAGCAAAAATTGTTCCGTTCCGTTCCTGTGCGGGCAGCTCGCTCGGCTTTCAGCGCGTTCAGTGCACATCCAACGGTCATGGGCTGAACACGAACACAGACTATCGTCGCCGCGCTCTGTTATCATTATCCCATCGAAGAGATACGATACACAATAAAACACCCAAAAATAAAACGACATTCGGCCCAAAACAAATACACTTAACACACACACGCACGCACACACACTGCTCGAGTTTGTTTGGGCTTCCGACATTGTTGGTTTTATTGAAAATGTGGCTTACCGATTGCCGAACGGTAGGTCGTGCCGTGCCCTCTTTTTCCACCATAAGCCAAGTGCCACGGGGGTTAGCAAGGATTGATAGCGGTTAGAGGTGATCGTAAAAGAAGTTGCTGTCCGAAAAGAACCCTTCAAATGTATTAAAAAACCTTAGAGGGAAACCAAAAAAAACATAAGGAAACACGAAAAATATATAAACCACATTTTAAAAAATCTTTAAAGTCTGTTTTGCAGCCTTGTAAATTCCGTTAATAAACAAGCCTAATCGAAATTTTACTTGCAAATTAAAACAAAACAAAAGAAAAATAAATAAAAAGAACTGTTGGCTGGGCCATTCTGCATTGCAAATGACACACACAAGAGTTAAGCAGTAAACACTTACGAATGAATATCTCGGCCAGAACATCTCCGAGGGCGGAGAGCAAAATAAAGCACCCAACCGGCACTTAAGAACGCGAAAAAATAAGCTCTGCGGATATATGTAGTATATGTCTATGAATTTATACGCTTATGTACGATGTGTGTATCCATAGATACATATTGCTTTCCTCTAGCTGTAGACTGTGTGTGATGGAACAAAACAAACGAAAAAGATAGCAAATCGGCAAACTCCTCCCCAATCCCCATATGGTGGTAGCTCCCATTTGCCGATCTGCACATCTTTCCAGGCTCTCCATACTTGTGGGATAAATTACTCTATATATAATGCAAATCTCATTCCAGATGACACGCTACAAGCAGACAGAATTTACAGAAGATGATTCAAGTTCAATTGGCGGCATTCAACTGAACGAAGGCACAGGCCACACTGGCATGCAAATACGCTATCACACAGCGCGGGTGAGTGTTACTCTCTCTACTCACACACTACCTTTTAATTCACACTCCACCACACCAACACCCAAACCCACACCCACATAAACAAGACAAGACACACAGAAAGTCCGGTAGCTTTATCTGTTTCTTTATGACAATGACCTAAAAAAAAAAAGTACAAAAAACTGAAAGCAAATGAGGCCAAAGTGAGCGCTTTTCTCATTCATTTGAAGGTTACCATTTGACAGTGAAAAGTCGCTCGCTATCCTCTGTGCCACTGTGTGAGGTTTGCCCTAACATATGCTCAGGGTTACATGGGTTTGCCAATGGGTTTGCTCCGCATTTAAATCTTCTGAACAGACAGAGAATATCATGATAAATGTGCCTATAAATGGGCAAAGCTTGCCCAAGAAATAATGAAACGATATTCAAGAAATTTCTATATATTTATGTGAGCGTATTTTGCCAGTCGTTGTGGTTGGAATTCCATTTCAGCCAACGTATCACTGGACGTGGTGCGGCAATGTGTGGGTAAAAAATTTAGCCGCAAGTGGCTTAAGTACACGAGAGATTTCTTCTGTGGGGCCACACACAAGTTTGAACTCATTTGAACCGGCGCCGTGTGGCTGCTGGATTCTGTTTACACAACACAGAATCACAGACAGACTGTTTGAGGGGTGGGTGGTGGTGGGGGGAATGGGTGTTTGCCAGACGTGGTGGGTGGTTTGGGTGATAATAATTCCAACGCATTCCATCTTGCAGGCTACTTGGAACTGGCGCTCAAGGAGTAAGACCGAAAAATGGCTGCTCATCACGACATTTGCGATGACGATGACAATTTTTACGCTGCTGATCGTTCTATTTGCGGACAGCAACAGCGACAAAACGAAGCACATTCTACACGTGCAGCCCCACAAGAAAGGTAATAGTGCCACCCCGCACCCTCTCTGAGATTGTGTATGTATTGATAATTAATTCATTGGCAGATTGCCCGTCAGGGAGCGAGTTGCCGTGCCTGAACAAGCATTGCATATTTGCGTCGAGCGAGATCCTGAAGTCAATCGATGTAACAGTCGATCCATGCGACGACTTCTACGGATATGCATGGTAAGCGTCGATGATTTGGTACTTCATTTAGAGTCCAGACCCACCACAATGATTTTCCATCTTCCCTTTGTAGCAACCAATGGATCAAGAACAACCCAATTCCCGAGGGTAAATCCACATGGGGCACATTCGGTAAGCTGGAGCAAATGAATCAGCTGATCATACGCAATGTGCTGGAGAAGCCCGCAGCGAGCTTCAAATCGGAGGCCGAGAAGAAGGCCAAAGTGTACTATGAGTCCTGCCTGGATGCCGACGAGCATATGGAGAAGCTGGGCGCCAAGCCCATGAACGATCTGCTGCTGCAGATCGGTGGCTGGAACGTAACCAGCAGTGGCTACAACGTGTCCAACTGGACCATGGGCAACACCCTCAAGATACTGCACAACAAGTGGGTACCAACTACATAGTTCCCACAAATATCCCACAAATATTCATAATCCCATTCGTGTCTGCTGCCCCGTACAGATACAATTTCAATTGCCTGTTTGGCTGGGCGATCGGTGAGGATGACAAGAACTCCTCGCGGCACGTCATCCAAATCGATCAGGGCGGCTTGACGCTGCCCACTGCCGACTACTACAACAACAAGACGGACAACCATCGGAAGGTGCTCAATGAGTATATCGAGTACATGACCAAGGTGTGCGTGCTGCTGGGCGCCAACGAGACCGATGCCCGCGCCCAGATGCTGGGCGTCATTAACTTTGAGAAGAAGCTGGCGAACATCACCATACCGCTGGAGGATCGACGCAACGAGGAGGCCATGTACCATCCCATGAAGCTACGCAAGCTGGCCAAGCTGGCTCCCTTCCTTAACTGGACGGATCATTTCGACAATGCCCTGCAGATGGTCAATCGGCGGGTCACCGACGACGAAGTCGTCGTTGTCTATGCACCCGAATTCCTCAAGAATCTCTCCGATATTATCATGAAATTGCAGCAGACCGATGAGGGAAAGATGTGAGCATGGAATAGCAGGGAACTTAAGCATTTAGGCGGGCATAAACCCCAATCCGTTTTTGTTTTTGCAGCACCTTGAACAACTATCTGATCTGGCAGGCGGTGCGCACCCTGACCAGCTGCCTCTCGAAGCCGTTCAGGGATGCCTACAAGGGTGTGCGCAAGGCCCTCATGGGCTCCGATGGTGGCGAGGAGATCTGGCGCTACTGCGTCTCCGACACCAACAATGTTGTTGGCTTTGCTGTGGGCGCAATTTTCGTGCGTCAGGCGTTTCACGGTGAATCGAAGCCGGCGGCCGAGCAGATGATTGTCGAGATACGGGAGGCCTTCAAGCACAATATGCAGAATCTCACTTGGGTGGATAAGCAGACCCGGGAGCGGGCCATCGAGAAGGCCGATCAGATCTCCGATATGATTGGCTTTCCCGACTACATTCTCGATCCGGCAGATCTGGACAGAAAGTACGCGGACTTGAACATAACGGCGAATGCATATTTCGAGAACAACCTACAGGTGGCCATCTACAACCTGAGGAGCAACCTCAAGCGCCTCGATCAGCCGGTGAACAAGACCAACTGGGGCATGACACCGCAGACGGTCAACGCCTACTATACGCCCACCAAGAATCAGATTGTCTTTCCAGCCGGCATCCTGCAGACGCCCTTCTTCGACATCAATAATCCCAAGAGCCTGAATTTCGGCGCCATGGGCGTGGTGATGGGCCACGAGCTGACCCATGCCTTCGACGATCAGGGCCGCGAGTACGATAAGTTTGGCAACATCAATCGCTGGTGGGACCCGAAGAGCATCGAACGCTTCACCGAGAAGTCCGAGTGCATTGCCCGCCAGTACAGTGGCTACAAGATGAACGGACGCAATCTGAATGGCAAACAGACGCTGGGTGAGTGCGAAAAACTACACCCAAGCTGGCTTATATCACGCTCCACGCCTTTCATTCCCCCCCCCCACCAATCAACAGGTGAGAACATTGCCGATAATGGTGGCCTCAAGGCAGCCTACCACGCCTACCAGCGCACCAAGAGCGAAAAGGAGGCGGACATCCTGAAGTTACCCGGCCTAAATCTGACGCATTCGCAACTCTTTTTCGTGTCTTTTGCCCAGGTGAAATCATAGATGATAATTAGATCTGCCTGAGCCATTGTTAATCGTTTCGCTTTTCGGTGTCGTTTAGGTCTGGTGCTCAAGCACCACCGAGGAGACGAATCTGCTGCAAATGGAGAAGGATCCGCACTCGCCGTCACAGTTCCGGGTAATTGGTACACTGTCGAACATGAAGGAGTTTGCCGAGGTCTTTCAGTGCAAGGCCGGCAAGCGCATGAATCCGACCAGCAAGTGCGAGGTGTGGTAAGGGGGAGCCATTCCCAGAGCGATCTCAGAGCAAAGAGCAATGGCCATGCAGCATACATACATATATGATAACATACATACATACATATGTGGGTGCGTGTGTGTAGGGATAACTAAACACAGGCTAGGAGAAGCTAAAGTCAGTCTTTGCTGTGCTATTTTCCGTTTCCGTTTCTGTTTCCTGTTAATTTTAATATTAATTTTATGTCTTAACATTTTTTGGTGTCGAAAGACCGTCAGTCATTGTGCCTATGCCTATAGAAATGATAGAAAACTGACGATAAATTCATATTTTTTACTGTTTGGTGGTTCCCGCTGCCCGTGGCCAGCCACTGCGACTAGCAGTGCTCCCCAAGGCAGCGAATGAACCTCCATCCAATGGGACATCCTAAACTACATAATGTGCGGCTGGGTGTGTGTGTGTGTGTGTGCTCTTTGGGGGGATATTTCGGTACCCCAAATCACGCCACCAAGGTCGCAGTCAGAGTCAGAGTCTGGCAGATATATATATATACAACATACATATATATATTTAGATAACGATAAATATAACTGTAACTTAGCTATTTGTAGAACTATGAATGTATATTGTATTATAGAGATACCAAAATACCGAATGACACGAATCAGAACTCAAGTCCGGACAGTGGCAAAATTTCAGCTGCAGCTAAGGAGTTTTCAATTTGCATATTCAAATTATAAAATACTAGTGGAATAAAGTGGAACCACTGCCTCGACTTGGGTCCTCGAATTGTGTAAGCGAGATAGCTAGTGATTTGTGTATGTGAAAGCGACAGAGATAGCCATAGCGATGGCAATGGAGTGCGACAGAGGGAGAGAGTCTTAAGCTTTTTTGTTGCCAAATATGAAACAGAAAAAATCTGAACGAATTTGATTTAATATTTTTATTATTTAGTTTATTCTAGTTTAAAACAAAAATTTCAAAAATGACAAAAATAGTTGCATTTATTTTTGCATTGGTTAATAATTTTTTTTTTGATCTATTATTATTTACTCGCTGTGCCAGACAGCAAGAGATTTGTCTCTCTTGTGGAGGGTGAATGTGAGAGAGAGAGAGAGAGAGAAGGTAAAGAAACGAACACCAAATATACTTTAGAAAGGAACAAAAACAAACACCAAATATAAATCTAGAGAAGAACAAAAACACCAAAAAAATATATACTATGGATAGCCAAGATGTCGGAGTTAATATTCAGTTATTCAAAGGAGATGTACTCAGATATACTATAGAGAAGAACAAACACCAAATATACATATATACCTACGAACTATAGCTAACCAAAGCAGATATCGAAATTATATATTCGCAACGATAACAGCAAAACATTGGAAAACGTTTTCTTTTGTACAAAAAGAAAAACATATCGTAAACAAATAATAAAGAATAAACACCAAACAAAACCAAGTGAAACGAATGGAACTAAACCAAGCAGCAAAAACACCAAATTGGGCTCAAATCCAAATAGTATAGCCATATTGTAAGTACGATTAATCCCCAATCAAACAATCAACGCACAAACAACGCCATACTGAGCATACGGGTACGAGTCTATGTACATTTGTGTGCATGTATGGCCAAACGAAAAAATAATTAAATAAATAAATATATATGTATATGGTTCCTGGACGCCACTCAACTCTCAAGGGCGAAGCAGAGATCCCTCCCACCCCCTTAGTTTTGGTATATTAACGGGTACATACATACCTACGCGTATATTGTATATCGTGCGTAAATACGACTAATGCATTTACGTAACTCTCATTTACTTTATTTCCGTTGATCGCTCAGTTCTGAACAGATGGAAACCAAAAACCAAAACCAAAAACCAAAACCAAAAACAGAGATATCAAGCTAAAGAACTTTTATATTCTATATATATACATGTATATGGACACTATATGATAATGATAGTCGAATTGATATCATACAAAACAATTTAAATAATTATGATAATATTATTATACAACAACCTACTACCTACATACATACACACACATTTACTGAATGTTTAAACAAAAGCTTATTTTTATTGTCTATAAATAGTGCGTACAGTACAGTGATGCATCCCATGCATGTACGAGTATACTATACATATGATAAAAATCGAAATAAAATTCAATAACTGTGACTTTAAAACTCTCATTTTGTGTGGCACTTCTTCTTATTTCTTCTATCCTTTAATAGATAGTTTCATCCTATTTTCAGCAAAGAGTTATTTCGATGGGTAATTTGTTTCTTTAAATCTATTCTCTTACCGGCATCGGCTGGCAACCTAAGAAGTGATAATCGTAACCAACTAAGGGCTGAACAATTTGCCAGGAAAAGATGGCTCTAGCTGGAGTGATCCCAATATCCTGTTTACCAATGCAAAAGTGAATGTACATGCCTATGTACTTGTACAGGCATAGAGTACATAGTCGGCCACTTATGCTGATGAAGTGCATTTTCTTTGTATACAATAATTATACCACTTGGATACTCCGGCTGCCCGCTCAATTTTTCACCCAAGCCTCAATTATTTTTCTGAATAAAATCAGTGCTGACATACCCGAAAAATAGAGGCAGTCATTCATATTCTGTTCTGTACTAATACATATATGTGTACATATGTATGTAGCTCTCTTTTTCCATGCACAACTCAAACCAAATGTTTTCCATGCAATCAAAAAAATACCCACCGTTTAAAGCCCTTTAATATGGCTTGTCTTTTGCTTCAACCCAACCCAATTTAGGATAGACTTAAAGACATAAAACTTTTCCAAAATAATTGTTAGAAATATTTAGATTATATTTTCTTTCGGAATGTTCTGCCATGTTGCGGCATTAATCTGACTGATACTCCGTATCCCAGAGAGAGCGCTGCTCTGGTGCAGACTTTTTTGGCGGTGCCTTAACCCATTGAATTTATGTACTTTCGGATTGCCGAAAATAAATGCCAGCCATGTCGGTCTTAAAGTTGTCGAACTTTGACTTTATGACAAAGTTCTAATAAACTTTTTTTCTGTACCCACCAGAACAGTGTGTACACACACACACATGCGTGTGTACCTATGGAGAAATGCCAGCAAATTGCTTACATAATAAATAATAATAATAGCGTGCGATTTTTGGCGCAATTTAAATTTATTTATGGCACTTGTTTGTTCGCATGTCAGGCGCAAGTTTTAGCCAGACATTTTTGTGCCCACAGCCAACAGCCCGCAGAGAATCGACAGACGATGGAGCTGGAGCTAGAGCAGGCAGTTACCGTTACCTGGCTGGGATGAAGAGATTGGGTGTCCCGTGGTTTGGATTTGGAGGGGCGTGTACGTTGTGTGGTGCGAGTAGTCAGGGCAGTCAGCCCTCGTCGTCGTCGTCCTCTGGCAGATTTGCCTATTTTTATCATTGCGGCTGATCCAGGGTCGCCCTGGCATTTTGCCTGTGCGCCAAAGCATTTAATCTGCTTAGTGGGAGCGATGTCGACTCATAAATCCTGCTTGTGGCATGGCCATAGCCATGGATGTCCTCGACCTGCTGCCTGCTTATCGCATTCCATAATCGAACAGCAGCGAGTGCAGACAGACAGAGACAGAGGCAACTGTGGCAGGATGGGGCTGCTTAAATGGCAATTAGGCAGGGGAACACTTACTGACAGCTTCGTTTAGCTGTTATTGCGGCTGCTGCCAGCCACCAGATGATGTCATCAGAGTGTTTGAGACAAATTAATACCATCTCGCTCCGCAAACAAGAAATCTACATTTGCTGGCTCACACAAAACAATGCAAACAATGGTCGCACTTAGCAATTATGCTTGCCATTTCGGGGGTCACCAAACCAAAGCGGGGTCACCCCCAATCGGATACAATTAACAGCAGCCCTACTTTATGCATCGATTTAAGTGATTGTGTACAACATTTTTATAGATTTATGGCCACCAAAGAGTGGGGTATCGGTAAAGTCCATAATTTAAAAGCAAGTATGCTTTTTAATCGGGGTCACCAGGGGGAAAAATGAGCCACCAAACGTCTGGCAGGAGATTTATGAGACCAAACAAAGGTCGCTAGCCAGCTAAAAGAATTTAAATACTCAATGAAATATCCTAATAGTGAATACTAGCAACAATCAGAGTTACCTTGAGGAAAACAAATCGCGAATCATATTTACTCGTATGGGAATCATTTGAAGTGACTGCCTGTCATCCATGTCCGTACAAATTCTGTGCTTTGATTATGCGGGGAAAATGAAACACTGAAATGGTCGAATCAAGCCAAAGCATAAAGCTTCAATTGTGTGTCAGAAGTGCGCATTGCTGAGGCGATTAACATTATTAATGGGCAGTGCAAACAAAACAGCACTTTGAAGGAAGGTAGACCCCCACCCAGCAGCCCACTTGTTGTGGGGGTTGAGTGTAATTGCAATTATTATTATTATTTGTTGTTTATTATGCAGCCAAGTTATGGTTATGGCCGGGCCTCCACCATGTCCTGTGTGTGTCTGCTTAAATATGCATATGTCCGGTGTGGACACACCTCCTGCTCATCCTCCTGCCTCGCTGGCTGGCTGGCTGGCTGGCAGGCACTCACTCAGGCATTCATTTGCTCGTTCGTTTATTTATGTTAATTTAAATCAACATGCAAAAATTAGCACATGACACGAAGTGAATGGGGGGGCCACGAGGAATGGCAATGGGCATGGGTGGGTGGTGTGGAGGGGAGTGGATGATGTTTAGGCCTGGCCGGAGATGAGTTTTGTGGCTCGAAAACATTTAATTTATTTAATTACTTGCCCCTTCATTTGCATATTTAAATGAATTGCCGCAAAGCCAGGGCTGAGTGTGCCAAATATGGGCTGGCAGGGCAGTCATCCAGTTGGTCTCTCAGTCTGTCAGTAATACTGTTGGGCTGGCTAATAACTTGATGACACGCTGCCAAACATAATGTATGCCACCTTCGGGTCTTGACTTTTGCCCTTGGCCCTTGGATTGAGGCTGTAGCTGTGGCTGTGGCTATGGCTATGTCTGTTGGCTCAAGTAGCACATACCGCCCAGTCGGCTATTCGG